ACTCTGTTGTTTGCTTTGCCATATAGAAATTTTTTAGTTTGATATAATCCCATTTGTCTGATTTTGGCTTTGTTCTCTGTGCTTTTGGTGTCATATAAGGAAAAAAAAAATCATTGCCCAAACCATTATCAAGGAGCTTTCTTCTACTATGTTTTCTTTATGAAGTTTCAGATCTTAGTTTTAAAAATGCTTTAATCCATTTTGAGTTGATTTTTGTTTGTACTGTGAGATAAAGGTTCAGTTTCATGCTTCTATATGTAGATATTCAGTTTTCCCTGAACCATTTATTGAAGAGACTATCCTCTCATATGTGTTCCTCCTGGCATCTTTGTCAAAAATTACGTTACTGTAAATGTATGGATTTACTTCTGTGCTCTCTATTCTGTTCTGTGGTGTATGGTGTCTATTTTTATGCCAGTATTTCAGTGTTTTAATTACTATAGATTTGTAGTATCGTTGGGAAAACCAGAAAGTGTGATGGTTCTAGCTTTGTTCTTACTTAAGACTGCTTTGGCTGTTCAGGGTCTTTTGTGGTTCTGTATAAACTTTAGTGTTGGTTTTGTTTGTTTGTTTTCCTGTTTCTGTGAGAAATGCCATTAGAATTTTGATAGGAATTGTATTGAGTCTATAGATAACTTTGGGTGGTATAGACATTTAACAATATTAATTCTTCCAACCCATGAACTTGGACTATCTTTGTATCTTGAAAAATTTCTTTCATCAATGTCTTATAGATTTCAGTATGCAGACTTTCACTTCTTTGGTTAAATTTATTCCTAAGTATTTTACTCTCTTTGATGCTGTTATAAATGAGATTGTTCATGTCTATTTTGGATAGATCATTGTGTACTATATAGAAATGTAACTTATTTTTTATGTTGATTTCATGTTCTGCAACTTGATTGAATTTGTTTATTAGTTTTGATAATTTTATGGAGTCTTCAGGGTTTTTAACATATAAGATTTTGTCATCTGCAAACTGATACACTTTAATTTCTAAGTTTTCCAATTTGGATGCCTTTTATTTCTTTTTTTTTCCACCCAATTCGCGAGAACTTGCAGTACTGATTAAGTAGAAGTGGTAAAGTGGACACGTTTTGCTTTTCTTTTTCATTTTTGTACTAGGGGTTGAACCTCAGGGGGCTTTACCACTAAGTTACATCCTCAGTTCTTTTTAAAAAAAATTTAATTTGAGACAATCTCTTTCAGTTGCTGAGGTTGATATCTAAGTTGTGATTCTCCTGCCTCAGCCTCTTAAATTGCTAGAATTACAGATGCACACCTCCATGCCCAGCTTTGGCCTCTCTTTTCTTGTTCTTGATTTTAGAGGAAAAGATATCAGCTTTTCATCTTTGGGTATGATGTCAGCTATAGGTTCGTCATATATGGACTTTATTTTACTGAAGTGTATTACTTCTATGCCTTATTTGAGAATTTTCATTTTTTTTTTTATTATTTTGTTACTGGGGCTTAAACCCAGAGGTGTTTAACAACCATCCCCAATCCTATTTAATTATTTATCTATTTATTTATTTATTTTTAGCTATAGAAGGACACAATATCTTTTTTTTTTTAAATATTTTTAGTTGTAGATTGACACAGTACCTTTTGTTTTTTTTATTTTAATATTTATTTATTTTTTTTAGTTCTTGGCGGACACAACATCTTTGTTTGTATGTGGTGCTGAGGATCGAACCCGGGCCGCACGCATGCCAGGCGAGCGTGCTACTGCTTGAGCCACATCCTCAGCCCAGGACACAATATCTTTACTTATTCATTTATTTTTTACTTGGTGCTGAGGATTAAACCCAGTGCCTCACATGTGTGAGGCAAGCACTCTACCATTGTGCCCCAGCCCCAGCCCTCCTTGTTATTTTTTATTTAGCAAGTGGGTCTCTCTGTTTCTTAGGTTCTCACTAAGTTGCTGAGACTGGCTTTGAATTCATGATTCTCTTGCCTCAGCCTCCTGAGTTGCTGGGATCGCAGGCATGTACCACTGTGCCCATCTATTGAGAGTTTTTATCATGAAAGGATGTTTAGCTTTATCAAATGCTTTTTTTCCTCAGTCTTTTCAGAGGATCATGTAATTTTTACCTTTCGTTCTGTTCATGTAGTATATCCTGTTTATTGATTGTGTATGTTGAATCATCCTTGCCTACCAGAGATAAGTCCCACTTGTTCATGGTGAATGATCCTTTTAATATTCTAATGAATTAGGTTTGCTAGTATTTTGTTGAGGATTTTCATCTGTGTTTACCAGGATATATTGGGCTATGATTTTCTTTTCTTCTGCTCTTATTTGACTTTGGTATGGAGGCAATGCTAGCCTCTTAAAATAAGTTTGGAAATATTTTTCCTCTTCAGTTTTTTCAAAGAATTTGAGAAGGATTGATTATTTATTCTACTTTTTTTTGTTTTTAATATTTATTCTACTTTAATGTTTGGTAGAGTTCATGTGTGAAGTCTTCCGGTTCTGAGCTTTTTTCCCTTGAGAATTTTTTTAATTACTGCTTCTTTTTCTGTATTCATTATTGATTTTTACATCTATTTCTATTTCTTCTTGATTCAGTCTTGGTAGGTTGTACGTCTCTAGAAATTTATCCATTTCTTTTGCATTTTCCAACTTGTTGACATATGATTTTTCACAGTGTTTGTTTAGTCAGCTTTTTTCCTACCATAACCAAAAGACTTGACAAGAACAATTGGAGGAAGAAAAGTTTATGAGCTAGGGAGAGAGAGAGACAGAGACAGAGACACAGAGACACAAAACATATCCCCCAAAGGCTTGCCTCCAGAGTGACCCACCTCCTCCATCCACATGCTATTAGCTTAGAGTTATCACCCAGTTAATACCTACCAGAGGATTAATGCCCTGAATAGTTCTGAAAAAGAGGAAAAATCAGGGAGTCTTGGTTTGCTATTTATTGAGACTTTTTATAAAGCTGTAGTACTTACAGTTGCATAAAGTTGGCTCAGAAACATACAAGCATATCAGAGTAGAAAGCCCGGAATGGGCACACATGTATATAAAAACTTTACACATGACAGAGGTGACAATGCTTGAAGTATTGCTGAGTCAAATCATTATTAATACATACAAAAATGAAATTTTATTCTTTCACTATACTCAAAAAAATGAAATTACATCTTTACTTAATGCCCACTCAACTTCAATTTCAGGTGGGTTAATGACTTCAGTGTGAAAGACCAAGGTTGTAACATCTTTAGGGGAATAGTTTTATGAATTTGGAATTCATACAATTGTCATACAATTGTACTCTATAAAGGAGAAGATTGGTATGTTTGAAGCAATTAAAATTTTTAGATTCTGTAAATGCAGTGATAACATAAAGCAATCAAAGAAATAATTCATAATTTGGAAGAACATAGTCCATAACATGTGACAGTTAAAAAAATTATCAGTGTATATATAAAGTAATCGTATGTCATTAAAGAAAATTTGTCTTAATTAAACAATGGACAAAAGATATAAGTCACAGAAGTGGAAACAGGAATTGCCAAATACCATATGAGAATATTTTTAGCTTCAGTAGTCAGGAGCATGCATTTTAAAACCATATTGAGATACGATTTTTTATCAGATTAGGAAAAATTGCAAAGTCTGATGATATCAAATGTCAGTGGATATGGAGAAATATATCAAGCATTGTTATGACCTACTAGTGAGTATAAGTTAATAAAACCTTGAAACGAATATAAGTTGTACCTACTGTATGGACTAAGCAGTTGAGATTTTAGACCTAAATCCTAGAGAAACTTGCATAGTTCTATTAGATTGTATCTAGCAGCATTGTTTATAATAGCAAGAAATGGAAACAACTCAGTTATCCATCACCTTGGGAATGGGCTAAAACAGTTATCATATACATTGTTTTATACTGCAGAAAAAAATTGAGGAGATTAAGAAAACTAAGTATCACTCTCAAAACACAAACTGAAAGGAAAAAAATAATTTATTGGTAAATTTTATGAAACTCAAAAATTGGCAAACTATAAATGAAGGGTCCATGTATATGTGGCAAAACTTTAATAAAAACAAGGAGATTTTAAACCCAGAATTTAACATAGAGATTACTCTTACCAGTGGAGGATAGAGTAATAATAGTCATTGGAATATGAGAGTGGTACAATGGAAGCTTCAGAAGTAGATAGAATGTTCTTTAAAAAAATTTTTTTTATACTTGTAGCATGCCTTTATTTGTTTCATTTTTATGTGATGCTAAGGATTGTACCCAGTGCCTCACACATGCTAGGCAAGTGCTCTGCCACTGAGCTATATAGTCCTAGCCTTAGAATATTCTAATTCTTAAGCTGAGTTCTTAGATCTTGATGCCATTATTTTCAGATACATGTATATTATATATACCATTTTGAATGCTTGAAATATTGATTTAATAATGGTAAAATTCAAGTTATATTTCAAAACCTTTGTTAAAATGAGTCGTAATAATATATCTGTGTGACAATGTAAGGAGACTGCTTCCATTATTTTCAACATAAATGGTTGACTTGGTTTCTCTATCATTTCAGATCCTCTCATGCTTTTCTTTTGTTTTATAATTTTGTCATGCTTCATAAAGTATGTGCTGAAATATATTCTCCTTAGAGGAAAACTGGAACATCATTGTATACAGTGTATTATTTTTGATAGGGAAAAATTTGGAATTGTTGAAAAAAATCCAGCTTGTGGCTGAGTCTCAGTGGTAGAGTGCTTGCCTAGAGCATGTGAGGCACTGGGTTCGAGCCTTAGCACCACATAAAGATAAATAAATAAAGGTATTGTGTTCATCTGCAACTAAATATGTGTGTGTGTGTGTGTGTGTGTGTGTGTACACACACACATATGAAGAAAAAAAAATTGTTGAAAAAAATCTTGCACCAAGAAGTTTTGTTGGATTTTGTTGGTGTAAATTTGTACATAGCATATTCTTTCTGTGCACATATATGAAAAAGCTTGATTTTTCTCCCTCTATCAATAGGCAAGTGAAAGACCAGAATAAGAAGGTAGCAAATCTGAAGCACAAGGAACAGGTGGAGAAAAAGAAGAGCGCACAGATGTTAGAGGAGGCCCGGCGGAGGGAAGACAATCTCAACGACAGCTCCCAGCAGCTGCAGGTCAGAGCACACGGAGTCTGAGAGGATTGGGTGAAGAGATTTGATCCTTAATTGCATGTTGTTTTTCTCTTCATCTTTATCCTCCTCTTTTTTCTCTTTCTAACCCTGCTTGCTGCCTTCCTGTCAGATCAACTTTTTAGCAATAATGGAATGGCTTTAAATAGAAAAGGCAAGTTTTATTCCACAGTTTTGTGAGGACACCTCAGCATAGGAGAAAGTTCATCTTGCTTCAAGTTGATCATACTTAATTGGTAAGTTCAATGTCAGTTTAATGAGTGGGTTATATTAAGCTATAGGGTTGTTAGTATAACTGTTTGCCATTTCTGTTCATTAAAGACCATTGTTGATCTTAGTTTGTGGCTTTCTTCCTTTTTTCCATTTCCCTTTTTCTTTTCTTTCCATATTTCTTTCCTCCATTTCCCCTTCCTTCCTTCCTTTTAAAAAATATATTCAATTTAGAGAGTACATTTCACAGTCATAGAGGACATATTTTTTTTCTTTGATGGAGTGATGATATTAAACCAGAACAAATAACAATAGTAGCAGCTACCATGTAAGTGCCAATTAGGTTCCCAGTATTTAAAGTAGGCCCTGGTCATACATTTCTCTAACCTTCACAGTAATACAGTGGTATTGTGCACATTTTGCAAATAGGAAAACAAAGACATTGAATTACTTACCTAAGTGCACACAATGTTCTAAGTGACTTGGCTGTGATTTTTATTTGGGACTTCTCATCTGCAGCCTGTCCTCTTTTTCTTGGCAGTAATACCTTAGAATGAAGGTTTAGGTTTTAGGGAATCCCATAAACATGCTGGAATCCTCTAAAACTCCTGGTATGACAGCTAAACTGCTGTGATATTGCTTTTCTTTCTTTATAGCTTCTCTTTGGATATAATATAGTATGTATACCATAATTGCACAGTCACACAATTTTGACTAGAGAGATGTGGAGAAGTTATTTTCTAGAAACTGATTTTAGGCTTTGCAACAAGTACATTCTAAACTTGGAAACTCAAATTTTTTATTTTTATTTTTTTGGTTTCTCTTTTATATAACTTTTACTGATATACTTCTTACAGAATGATAAATTACTTCAAATGCACCAACTTTTGAAAAGAAGAATCATCAATTTTTCCTCACCCTTTCAACTGTTAATATTAACAATGGTTAATATTAGCATTTTTCTCTTCCTCCTTCACTTCCTCATTTAAAAAAAAAACAAATCTGATGAATATAAAAGAATTTATTTTGTGGAATCTATATTTCTCTGATTACTAGTGATGTCAAGTGTTGTTTTTTTCACATCTTGAATTTTCATTTGTAAATGTAATTCAAATCTCCTCACTTTTTTTCCCCCAGTGGTAGCTTTTTCTCTCATGAATTTTGTGCTTAATTTATCCACATTTTGAGACCATATATTTAATTTGTCTTAAATTTAAATTTGTCTTAATTTGTGTTAAAAGTTATTCTGTTATTGCTTGCATTTTTAAAAATAACATGTTTGCTTTTTAAATTACTTTAGAGTATTTTGTGTGTTGAGGAAGGTTTTTTATCCCCTAACAATTTCAGTAGCATGTTTACAGGAAATTATTTCATTGCTCACAAGGCTGAATTGGTATCTTTATGTTTTGTGAAATTGGTTAACAATTCAATCTGTTTCTAGTGTTTCAGTTTAACCTCCCTCCTTGAACGATGACCACATTTTAAAAAATCATAGAAAATACCTATTTTATAATAAGACAAGCCTGTCTTTTAGTTCACTCTTTAACTGTTATCATTTCTTGTGTTCCCCTAATGCTGATTTAATGTTTTCTATTGTCAGTCTTTGTAAACCAAGGATATTCTAAGTTTCTATCAGTTATTATAATACCATGAGTGCTTTTGTATGTAATCTTTTATAATCTGTTTTTAAGAGCAGATAGATAGGATATATTGCGTTATTTGTATTTTACATAAAAAGAGTACTAACATAGAGGGATTGACTGACTTTTCCAAGGTGTGTCCCAGTGATAGCTGATGGCCATACTTTTAGCTACTAAGGAAATGGATGTATTTCATTCAAAGACAGTGAAAAGAGGACTGGCCTACAATTAAGATACTTAGGATCTTATCTCAGTTCTTTTACTCACTACTCTTATGTATATTTTAAAATTATGCTAGTGGTAGTGAGTTTTCCTAGCCCTAGACTATATTCTCTAAATACAGTTCATGCCTGAAAGGAGCTAGGGATTCTTGGAGAAAATGGCTGGTTCCAGAATTGGAGCTGGACATGTATATTCTAAACCTAGATCTCTAGATCAGTTCGTTTGAGATTATAGTATCCCTTGAATTCACCTGGAGGCCTTTTCAAGCTTAGATTGCTGGGTCCAGACCTTAAGGTCTGATTTAGTAAGTTTGCTTAAGCTGCAAGAATTTGCATTTCTAGTAACTTCATAGGTGACGATGACATTCCTAGGTTCTCGAAGTTTGGTTCAAGGACATTCCTGGTACTCAAATCAAACCTCGAGAACTACTGTAGTACAGCATCTTGTGATAATGAAGAATTAAGCTTCCGAAATTTACTGAGGTCATGTAAGAAGGTTAGGGAGATGCAAATCAAAACTGAGATTTCATCTTATTCCAATTAGAATGCAGTCATCATGAATACAAATAACAATAATTACTGACAAAGAGTTGGAGGATATGGGGAGAAAGAACACTTATACATTGTTGGTGGGACTACAGATTAGTACATCCACTGTGGAAATTGGTATGGAGGTTACTCAAAAGACCAGGAATAGAACCACTATATGACCCAGCTCTATTCTACTACTTGGTATTTATCCAAAAGAACTGAAGTCATATACTCTAATGATATATGCATTCCAGTGTCTATAGTAGTGCAATTCATAATAGCCCAAGGCATCTGTGAACAGATGAATGGATAAACGTGTGTACACACACACACACACACACACACGAGTTCTGCTCAGCCCTAATAGGAATGAAATGATTTAAGTTGCTGATAAATGAATGGTTGGAGAACATCATGCTAATTGAAATAAGCCACAAACTTATTAAAGTCAAGAACAGAATATGTTCTCTCATAAGCACAATCTAGAGAGAAAAAATAATAATAATTTTTAAAAAGGCTGGGGAGGGCTGTAATTGTGGCTCAGCAGTAGAGTGCTCACCTAGCATGTTCGAGGTCTGGGTTCCATCCTCAGCACCACATAAAAAAGAAAATTAAAGTATAAAAATAAAAAATTTTTAAAAAGGCTGGGGAAACCACGAAAATAGAAGGGAAAACAATAGATCTAGGGAAACGGAGAGGGAGAAGGAGAGAAAGGAGAAAAAGGGAAGGAACCAGGGAATGAAGTAGCCAAATTAAGCTCTGCACATGTATAAATATTCACAAAGAATCCCACTTTTATGTATAATTACAGTGCACCAATTAAAAATAAATAAATAGAAGGGAGACCATTAAAGTAAAGGAAGACTGTCAGGGAGAAGGAAGAGGAAAGGGGAAAAGGGAAGTAATGGGGAATGAAATGGAGCAAGTTATTGGCATATATGAATATGTCATAATGAATACTACTATTACATATAATTACAATGTACTAATAAAAACTTGTTTAATAAGGACAGAGGAGCAACAATGGAGGGACCATTATTTACCTAGTATGGGCACTTATAAAAAGGACTGGAGTACAGTGGATTAAAGTAAATATATTTAAATCCAAAAGCTTAGTATCGAGACTGTACAAATAATTTAGAGATTACTAAAGCACCAGTTCATTATTCTGAACAAATTGGTAAATAAAGGGAAAGAATCGGGCAATTAACTTGCCTTTTATGGATAAATTGTGTTAGACAAATCAGATAGTGGATCACGGTAGGTTCAGTGTTGAAGAATTACAGCTGATGAATGCAGAAGGAATGAGAGAATTTAGAAAATGATCTTCTTGCAGTTAACTAAATAAACATGGATCCAGGCAACTCAGCAGTGAGTTATTATTATTGAATGAAATGTCAGTGGAGAACTTTATAGTGGGTGGAGCAAGTTGATACCTATCAATAAATCTTTCAGTTCTTATAGAAAGAGAAAAAAAATCAAGCATGTTAAGCCTCTGACTATGATGCATTTGCATATATGTCCCAAAGAGTCAAATCTAAATTTATGTGAGCCAGGTTAAGAAAAAAAATAGGCAAAGAAATATGTTAATTACTCAAGGAAGTGCTATCAACCAAACTCAGATTATAATACAAATTTCTTTTGGTACTGGGGATTGAACCCAAGGGTGCTTAACCCCTGAGCCACATCCCCAGCCCTTTTTATTTTTGATTTTGAGACAGAGTCTCATATGTAGAGGGCCTTGCTAAGTTGCTGAGGCTGGCCTTGAACTTGTGATGCTCCTGCCTGAGCCTCCTGAATTGCTGGGATTATAGGCATGCACCACCATGCCTGAATCAGATTATAAAAAATTCTACATGACAGATAACTCATTTTCTTCAACTAATATATGAGAATGGGGAGAAAGAGAAGAAAGATGCTTTTTACAGATTTTTTAAAAATTGGGGAACATAAATTTCATGCAAATCATTTAGAATTTACTGGGATCCTGACTTGAATAACTATAAAAAACATTTTATGAGGAGAGATCCAGGCACTTAACAGGATACCCAAAAAGTTTTTTTTTTTTAAGTATAATTATTTTGTTATTGAAGTACCTAAAGAAGTGTTTATAGAAAAAATAGTGTGGCATCTGGGAATTATTTTTAATTGAAGTTATAAGTAGGGGCATATTGGTCAGTAGGATTATTGATAGTTATTGCAGCTGAGTTATAGTGAAATGGGTTTCATTTAACTACTCATTATACTTTCGTTTGTGTTTGAAATTTTTCCTAGTAAAATGGGGAAAAGTAGAGTCCTTGACTCTGGCTTAGTTTCTTCTTCCCTTCCTCCTTCCCTCCCTTTGTTTCTGTTATGGGAAACACACTCCTGGCCTTATGCAGGC